TAGTTGTTAAGAACTGCTGGATCCAAGGACGGTTTCTTCAGGAGGGGCTTCACCACCGCCGCCTTAAGCTCCTATGACTACCAATTCCAACAAATTCTCCTTCCAAGGATCAATGGTACCGTATTTCCCTGAAACCAACTGGAAAATAAGCTCTAGCTTGATTTTTCAGGATGCTTGTAATGTAAGCCCTACCCCCAAATAAGCCCCAGTTAAGATTGTCAGCCAGACACATTTAGTACCATATTTCCCCGAAAATAAGACCTAACTGGAAAATAAGACCTAATGCATCTTTTGCAGCAAAAGTAAATATAAGACCTGGCCTCATTTTCAGGGAAATTCAGTAGGATTTTCAGAGCTGGACTGCAAAAAAAAAATACAGAGGGCCACCAGATGGCAGTGTACTGAGTTTTTGCCTTTATCTTTGCCACCACCTACTGGTGACCTGGATTGCTGCAGTACAAATTTGGTGTCACTGACCACAAATATAACATTAAGGGGAGCAGCAAATGTAGATCAGTACCCACCTTGCCTTCAGCAGAGGAGGAAGCCATCTTGCGCAGGTGCTCCTGCTCACTGGCATTTGTGGCATATTGTGCCAACTCATAGAGAACATTTGTACGTGGTGGATTAGTGATATCCAAATAGTAGGTCAGGGCTGTGCGGTATGAAGTTGGGCAAGGGAATGGGTGCTTCTTGTTGGATTCCTCTGCAAAGAGGAGGAGAGAGGAAGAGTTCAGAAATTCAATTGCAATGGTACTCAACTGCTTTGAAACTCATTAAATTTGGTACTCAACAATTCTGATGTGATCATTTTGTCCCAGTACACATTGTTTGTTTGGTATGCAACACAGAAGCTAGAACTTGTTTATGTTACTGCCTTGTGTCTCATTAAATTATTCGTTATGGGAAAAAATGTGTTTGGTACTCATCATTTTTGGTAATCATCACGCCTCCTGGAATCAATTCAGGATGAGTACCAAGGTACCACTAAATAAGCCTCCAAATCCTGCATAAAGAGCCCAACAATCCTAAAATTCATAAAGTTTGTAATTGTTCTGACCTAGGCTTCCCAAGAGCATGCAGCAAACTCCTTGTCCCGACAAAAAACCCCTTTATTAATTTACTGTGAATTCTGCTCATTCACACCCAGCAACGTTTTTCAAGGGAGGATTTACAGTCACAGACTTTATCTGGCTTGGAGAGCTGACAGGCCAATATCAGAAAAACTTAGCAAGGAGTCTCGGACAGTCTGAACCAATTAAGTGAACTAATTGTCTCCTGCAAACTCCACTCCCCTTTTGCTCCTCTTTTAGTTCCTCTGGGAGGGGCCAATCATTGTCCATGTGTGGCCTTACTCCCAAGTTGACCCTTGTTCTTTAGCTTTGTCCTGGCAACTCTGTGCATGCACACCCCTTTGTCTGGCAACTCTGTGCATGCACACTGGGAACAGGTTCCAGCTGTTCATCTGCCTCACTGATGTCTGACTCTGAAGGCAGCTGGTAACTGGCACACAGCTCTGGCGCCCTCTCTGCATCCGACACAGAGCCTTCATCAGAACCTTCCCTAGACTCCAGGACTGGCCCATGTTCCTCTCCAACCTCCTCTCTGTCCGAATCTGCTGCCAGCTCTGCTGGCAGGCCACAACACAACACAGGGACCCAAAGTCATATTCTAACCTTCCCCAACCTAGCAGGCTCCAGATAAGAACTATAGCAGTTGAAGTTCATATATCTGGATGGCATTCATGTAGGGAAGGTAATCTACCCTTCTTAACTCTGCTGTTAACTGGACAATGTTGCTGTACCAACATTGTTCTACTGCTTTGGTAGTTATGGAGACCAGAACCATGTGTCCCAGTGGACAATGCAGGCTGGACAGCTGGATAAAAACAGGACAAAATGATTTCATTAAAGTATCCAATTTCCAAAGCCTTCATGTGAGATAAGGTCACCTTGCGAGGGGAAAGAAAGCTCTCGTGCGAAAGAGACCAGCACACTTGAAATCTGAGAAATAATTGCAAAAGAGCACACAATGCAAACAGTTCACTAAGCTGAAATATGAAACAAAGAAAGAGCGTTCAATTCAGTGTTTTTACCACCTCCTTCGCCAATCCACACTGTAACAAAGATACAATAGCAATAGCTCTGTTAACAGCTTAGGCGGCGGCAGCGCTAAAAGCTTCCAACTGCTGAGCTCAGAATCTGTTGGAGATTCAGTTGGAAGATTCATTCAATAGCCCTCAAAACGCAAGTGAAGCATGTCTGCCCCCATCAACCAATACACATTCTCAACAGGCCTAGCAAGTTTGGCAGGTCTCCCCACATCAAATGTTGAAGTCTTGGGTTTATAAAGAGGTTTAAAGAAAACTGCAGAGTATCTTAATTGAGCAACCTGATTGGGCAACTGGATGTAAACACCCCTGAAATCAGGTGTAGAAACTAGTTCTGCCAGAAGTGAATTCCAGATTCAAATAGTTGCTATGGCAGAGACTGGAAATGATGCCAGCACGCAATTTTTTGCTGCGGCAACTGTCAAACAAAGTGTCAAAGAATGAGAACTGTTGGTGAAAAGCAAAGTACACTATTAGCTATGAGCATCTCTTCAGGGTGGGCTCTTGATAAAATGGGAGGACCGTGCTTTTCCTAATAATTGTAAGGCAGTGTTTCTCAACGTCGGCCATTGGAAGATGTGCGGACATGCATTGCTGGCTGGGGAATTCTGGGAGTTGAGGTCCACACACCTTCAAGTGACCGAGGTTCAGAAATGCCACCTTATAGTTATTAGGAACAACATGTCCCATCAGCCACAGATTGTAGGATAAAGAATGGGAATGGTTGCTCAAGAGATCTGATAAAACAGAGAGAAACATTTGGCATCATCCGTTTTCATAACAAAAAAACATGTAACCTATGCAAAGAGGGAATCTTTATATAAGGTAAAGGTAAAGGTTCCCCTTGCATGTATGTGCTAGTCGTTCCCGACTCTAGGGGGTGGTACTCATCTCCGTTTCAAAGCTGAAGAGCCAGCACTGTCTGAAGATGTCTCCATGGTCATGTGGCCGGCATGACTAACATCAAATAGCAATAGCAATAGCAATAGCAGTTAGACTTATATACCGCTTCATACGGCTTTCAGCCCTCTCTAAGTGGTTTACAGAATCAGCATATTGCCCCCAACAACAATCCGGGTCCTCNGAATGTTTCCTTCCTGCCTTCCTTACAGGATTAGCCCTGTAAAGTGGAAAAAAACAAAAGGAAGTTTCTTCCAACAACTGGTTCTCCTGAATAGGTGCAAACTGGCTGAATCCCCCCACTGATGGGCGGGGCAGGGCCAGCCAGGAGTGGAATTTGGGGGGTTCTCTGAACTGCATAAAATCTTTGCTATAGGTTCTCCCGAACCCCTGCAAACCCCCAGCAGCCCACCCCTGATTGAGCCTGGAATTAACATCATAAGTCTTTGCAGTCATTAAGTGGGTACCTACATAGCCACAATTGATTGAAAGACCTTTTTTGCAGGCTGGTCATTAAGCAAACTTGCCAGTCTTTAAGCAAATCCATTTTTATTAGAAATTGGAAGTAAACTCCTAAACCTGGCAAAAAACCATTGAAAATCATAATCATTTGATCACCAACGACTGTAAAGGTGAGCTAGTTGCATTAATGCTCCAGATGAGATCCCATTAATGTCAGGGAGTTCTAGGTACCCATCAGAACTTCAAAATCGTCTCCCAAGTACCTTTTTCAGGTTCCATCAGAACTTAGAGCAGTTGCTAAGTGACCAATTGTTAAGTGAGGACTACCCGTACTGAGTCACAACTCCAGCACTGGTCCTACTGGCTGAGGTTTTGGAGGATGTGTGCAGTTCAACATCTTCAAGGCAACTGGTCCTTCATACCTGTTTTCCATTACTAATAAGTAATCTTACTGGTCCCTGTCTGCTTTCCTCAGAGCAGCTTCCTCACCACTTGCCATCCGATTCTTCAACTGGAAAAAGGAAGGTTTGCACATAGTGTCTTTCATGGACAACGTATGTGCTATATCTCGGGACCGTGCCCCTCCCACATGAACACAATCTTTCCCTTAGAATGTCTGTCTTTTAATCAATACCTGAATTGAGGAGGGAAATCTATAGCTCCAAACCCTAGGTGCCACCCCATCCCGGTTTTAAATCAAATTATATACCATATTTTTCGGACTATAAGATGCACTGGAGTATAAGACACACCATGATTTTGAAGAGGTAATTTTTTTAAAAAAATGTTTTTGCTCTCTGCAGGCCTCCCAAATACTCTGCACACCTAGTATTTTTGCAAAAAAAGGGGGGGCATTCAGAGCTTTGGGAGGCTTGTAATCTTGGGGGCTGGAGGGGCAAAAATGAGCAAAAATGGCCCGTTTTTGCAAAGAGAGAAAAAGGGCATGCAGAGGCTTTGGGAGGCTGGTAGAGTGCTCATACAAAAACAGCCCGTTTCTTGCTCATTTTTCCCTCCCCAGCTCCTAGGAGCTCTCTGGAAGCCTCTTAAAGGCTATACACTGCCATTTTTGCAAAGGGGGCAGGGTTTCGGTAGGCCAAAAATGCTGCATTCAGTGTATAAG